CAGCCGTCCACCACTGCCACTCTCTCTGAAATGCTAACTTCTCTCTAGAACATTCATTAGCCCACATTATAGAAATAAAAAAGTCAGCATTGGTGAGAACGGAAAAATAGGCTCTCTTATACCTTGACTGCATGGATGAGGAGACAGGAGAATAGAGTTGGAACAGTTGTTTACCACCATTTTCTAGAGGAAGAGCTATAAGAGTATCAGAATTCTAATGTATAAACCCTTTCTCCTGGAAATTCCACTTGTAGGATTTTATGCTATAAAAGTAGTATCATAAGGAAGCAAAGTGTTACATGGGGATATTCACTGCAATCCTGATCACAGTGTAGAACAAATAAAAACAACTCAATGTCCACAAACAAAAAATGAATTCAACAAATTCTTGCACATCCATTAATGAAAACATTAAAAATAATAGATATATAAATCCTGTCATGGAACGGTCTCAAAGAGACAAGTTAGGTGAAATAAAGCAACCTACAAAATAAGTATCTAATTTAAAAAAAATTTTTTTTTGAGAGGTTTTTGCTTTAGGGCACGTGCACTCACTAGAAAGACAGGGATAGAAAGCAAGAAATCAACCCCAGGGGGATGGCCACGACGCAATCCCTTCTCCTCTACTCTCCTCTTGGGATCCTGGGCATACATGCACGCATGCCCAGCGTGAGTTTAAGCCACCGAGTCCAGGACTCGAACCACGGTTGACTACATGGAAGTCCAGCGCAATAGCGATTAGGCCAACTGCTAGTCCCCATTTTTTTTTTTAAAGTTTTGCTATAAAGTATGTATGTTCACCAGAGAGGGGGAGAAAGAAAAAGTGGCAAATCACTCCCCTAGGGGTCGAAGGCGGATGACCGCATCGCAATCCCTTCTCTTTCATTCTTCTCTAAGGATCTTGGGCACGCACATACATACGCTGAGCGTAATTTTCAAGCCAATGGGTCCAGGACTTGAACTGCAGTTAGGATTCATACCAACTGCTGACCCAACATATACTTTAATTTGTTTTTTACAAAACTGAAAATTTTTGAAAGTCTAGAACGCATACACCAGACTGCCCAGGTTCAAATTTTGGCTCTGTCAATTACTAGAAATTAACTTTAATCTTCAAACTTCATCCATAAAATGAGAGGGAAGCATCTACTTCAAAGGATTATGGTGAAAATTCAATGATTTCATACACACATATATAAAATATATATAGCACACACATTAGTGGCACACACACACATTAGTGGAACAGAATCTACCCTGTAGCAAATACTCAAAAAACTCAGATGATGTTATTATGGTACATACAAATACACCTTAATAAAGTTATTTTTAAAAGTCTAAGATACACTGTTGCAAATCATTTATTATTTCACACTCATATAATGCTTTGTCCTTTGAAAGGACTTTAACTTGCATTGATCTTCATAAGCTTCACATTAAGTAGACAGGGTAATGACGATACTCTTGAGAGAGAAAAGGAAAATGATATTCAGATGAGCCTACCACTACTGTTACTAAGTAAAGCAGCCAAAGCTCATCTCTAAGATACAACTAAATCAACAGTGTGTTGGTAAAAATGTGCCAAGGCTGAAAGATTCTAGGAGTAGTCACCAATGATCATACTATAGCTATACATTGAGAAATAGGGTTTTCCCCTCCCCAATGTATGCTGCCTTTTAAATTTTTCTTTTTGGATAAATGAATACTTAAAAAATTTGATGTAATAAATGTTTTTCCTCATAATACACTCTGACTAAAAGTGTGATTATTATAGATACACATAAATTCCCAAAAGACAGACGAGATTTCCTTTTCAGTAGGTCATAGAATGCTCAACACACAGTAGGGATTCAATATATGCTTCTTACTTTCCCACAGCTTTCTCTGGTCTACTCTGATTAGGTTTAGAGAACTGCAACAGGAGAGAATTGGTTTCATGTATAAAATCCTGTGTCTTTCATACTAAACTAATTTGACAACGTGAGTAGTAGCCCTTATTCCCATTTTCCAGATGTCCAGACAAAATGGCAAAGATTCCTTGGCATTTTTTGTTGATCACTGCCAAAATGATCAGGGTTCTTGAACTGTTAAATTCAACACTATGCCAAATCTTTTTTTTTTTTTTTTTTTTTGTTTTTTTTTTTCTTTTGGAGAGGTTTTCGCTATAGGGCGCATGTGCTCGCCAGACAGAGAGAGACAGAGAGACAGAAAGCGAGAAATCACCTCCTGGGGGGATGGCCACACCACAATCCCTTCTCCTCCATTCTACTCTCGGGATCTTGGGCACACGTGCCAGGCATGAGTTTTAAGCCACCGGGTCAGGGACACGAACTGCGGTCAACTACGTGAGAGTCCAGCGACATAGCCATTACGCTAACTGCTGGTCCCAACACTATGCCAAATCTTGATGCATGAACGAGATAATTTTACTTAATCACATTCTGTGAGGAGAAAAGCCTTGGAAATAACTGGTAAACTAGAAAAGATATAAGGTCAGCCAGCTGCAAATCCTAGACCACTATAACATATTCACAGGTTGGGTACCTTCAGAAGGTAAATGCTTTGAGGAAAAAGCTACAAGCCACAAATGAACAGGGTTTCACAGTCTGAGTAGACCATTAAAAGCACTAGCAAAACTATTTGAAAAGAAAATTAAGGTCAACTATGGTCTTAGGTGCCTGGTGAAAGAGAATGGACTTCTCACAGGACCTGCACCAGCAAGGCACAATTACAAGTGGACTCGATTTTATTTTACTTTATTTTTTGCCATTTTAATGAATGAAACATAAAACATCTAAAACCACAGCTTCTGGAAGAACAACCTGTTCTTGCCTATCTTGTACCTCTCTTCAAACTTGACCTTTGTCCTCTGCCAGGTCTTGTGTTTAAGAGCAGGGTTTCTGATTGGGCTGGCAGGTGGTGTGCTGGTTAAAGGCACTGGACTCCCACATGGCTGACCTTGGTTCAAGTCCTGAGCCTGGTGGTTTGGTTTCTCATGTCCCCCTTCTCTCTGATCAAACTGAAATAAATACATACATACATACATACATAAAATTAGATGAAATAATTAAAAAAAAAAAAAAGAGCAGGGTCTCTGAAGACATCCTTGTTGACCACAGTTTTGTCCAAGGGAATATCCACAAAGTACACTGTGGGCATCAGGTAACTATAGTTATAAACCTTTGTAAAAGACTTGATCTTTGACCTCTTGGTGATTTTCTTCTTGCCCAAAGCAGCTGTCACTTTGTGGGGATAGCGGTCAATTCTAGCCAATAGAGCGTGGCTACAGGGGCAGTTT